GTCTAAGACCTCAAAGACACACAAATCGAAACCCTCCATACTGAAGTCTTCGACTTCAAAAACAACCTCTAAACGTCAGAAACTGACTGAAGATGTTCCAGCTCCAGAGCCTGTTCATCCTAAACGAGCTAAACAGTCTAAGCCTACAGACATCCCACCACAACCACAACTCTCTGAGTCAATTTTGGTCGGATCTCCCTCAGATGATGACAGACTTCCATCTCATCAACCCTGTTCTCAGTTTCCAGAATGGGATGATAAGAGTCAACCAAAAAACATCCTCTCCTCCCAGTCCACAACCTTCCATTCCTTCAAGCAATCCTTCGGTTATTCCATCGCCCAAGGATTCCCATCCCGAACAGCTCAACACCATTCCATATTCGATGCCCTTGGATCGCCCACCGATCCCAAACCAGGACCATCGACATCAACAATCTCGACAGCTCACTTCATCACGTGTGTTTCAAACTCACACTCAGCATGCACATCGGGTTGCCATTTGCCCCAACCAGTGCTCTGCTTGACAAACTGCACCAACTAGTTGACCGGGTGTTTTACCTGGTTTGATAATACCATCTAGTAGTCGGCCTACCTCTTGACAACCATCAGTGTTGAAGTGGCCACATCACTGAGAGGTGCCTATACCTCAACCTGTTTCCCATTTGATATTTAAAAAAAACAACCTCGGACAGTTGAGCGGATTTCATCCACCTGTGAGGCTTTTGCGGCCCCAGCCTCCCAATACTTTCCTACTACAATAGATGGAGGAAATCACTCTTCATGCTCAGCATCGCCAGCGTCAGTTTATTCTACTGCTATGCAATCACATTAGCAACCTCTGTTTCGACATCACAAAGACACAGGCTCTGATATAGATGATCCTCTATATTCATCCTGGTTCATGGACACTTGCTCCATTCTGTTACATCAACACAGTTCCCATCCTCCGGTAAATCCAAGTCATCGACCCCAGCACCGTTACGACACCGAGGTCCATCCCTATTAATCAAGGTCTGTCGACACTCAACCACCATCTTTTGATGTCGACGAGCATCGACATTGACAGATGTCCATGGACATGCCACCTCCATTTTTTCAACTCATAGCCGGCAATACTACGAAACTCAGCCTCTCGACACCGAAGTCGATCGACAGTCCGTCGACGCCAGACACAACCTCGATGGCTCTGACCATTGATCTCGGCAACAGACTCCATCGGTGTTACTTACCTCTCCAGAGTCGGACATTGTTGATACTGACCCACCGTCACCGGCAGAGGATATGCCCAACTTACAATTCACATGGCCAAATCCCTTGATCTGCAAGTCCACCGAATATCAACAGAACTGGCTGATCATCTATATGATCCAATCTTTAAAAATACAACCACTCCAGTGCAGATATCGATGTTACTATCTCTCCTTAGTACTGCACAGAGATCCTGGACAAAACCAGCTTCCTCCTGGGTAGATGACTTTACTCTTCCGCAGCCTTCACCATGCGAGTCGCTAATTATCAAGGAGCCATGGAAACTTACCAACGCTTCCTCTGGGACAACATATCCACCTTTATTGAATCCCTGCCAGACAATAAAAAGATACTAGGTCAAACCTTCCAACAAGAAGGTCTCTCCATTGCTAAACAACAGATGCTTTCCGGCCGCCACACCATAGACACTACAGCCAAGTCCGTGGCCACTTCAGTAGCCCTACACCGCTTTTTCCTGGCTCAGAACGGCCAGCTTAGCTGAAGATGCTCGGGCACGTATCTAAGACCTCCCTTTCAATGGAGCAGGTCTTTTTCATACTGAAACTGTAAGACCTCCCTTTCAATGGAGCGGGTCTTTTTCATGCTGAAACTGATGATATACTAGACACCGTACAAAAGAAACATTCAACAGCCAGACGTTGGGGAGTTTACCCTTCCTACCAGCAACGTCCTCAGCAAAATCAATGGAAACAACCCTATAACTCATATCAAAGGTTCCAACGAGACCCTCCATGACAAACCTCTTACAATCCATACTTCAAAAACCAAAGAGCCAAAACCCGGCAACAGCCTGCCACTAGGCAGAATGACCGGAAACCCAAACACCATGTTTGACATTCCTCTGACCGAGATCGCCACCCACCCCACCGACCCTACCCTTTGGAAACACTTGCCTGCATGGGAATCCATCACCACAAATTCCTAGATACTCACCATCATCAAAAATGGCTACCGCATCCACTTCTTAGAACTTCCTCTGACAACACACATCGTTACTCTACCATCACAAACCCTGCAAGAAGAAATAACGAATTTACTTCTCAAAGATGCCATACTACCCATCTATCAAAACAACACCGGGTTTTTCTCTCACTATTTCACTGTCCCCAAGAAAGACAGGGGACTACACCAATATCTAGACTTAAGATTATTAAACAACTACATTGCCACCACAAAATTCTGTATGGCTACTCTAGAACCAGTATAGATGCTCAAGCTCATGAGTGGTAACTAGATCAATCAGTATTCCGCCAACTATGCCAGAAATGGGGCACACCGACTCTCAATCTCTTTGCCTTCTGAGCAAATCAGAAATGCCAACTGTATTGCTTCTGAGCAGGAATAGGAAAACATTCCCAGGGACACGTGTTTGTCGGTTGTTGGCCCAAGACTCTTACCTACCTTTTTCCGTCGTTCCCTGCCCTCCACAAAGTGCTTGTAGCGCTATGGGGCGGTATATAAGTCCAATAAATAAATAAATAAATAATAAAACCAGTGCCATCATTATAGCCCCTTGGTGGCCGAGACAGACTTCTCCGCAGTTCTCCGCAGTCTCTCATCAGACATCGACCATCTCCCCCCCACCGCCACACCTTCTCACATAGAACAAGTCCTACACCCGGAC